GCGCTGTACCGTTCGGTGTTTTGGCAAATCTGATCGCCAAGCTGTCTTGTGCACGATTGCCTGTGTCTTTACACGATACTTGTAGTGTGGTCTACGGATTTTTAGCTTTACCACATATTTGCGGACCAACCATTATATTCTACAGATTTTTAAGAATTTTGGTGATATATTTTTAGTGTGGAAGAAATTTGATGGATTTTAAAAAATTTGGCTCACCGCCTCTATCAGCATTGTAAATGTATCAGATATTGACATAATCTATCTTACACATTTTCAATCATATCTTTTTCATTGGATTTTCTTATAGCGCAAATTTCATAACAGAAATATGTTATATTGGTTCAGTGTAGGAGCCAGAAACACCAATGGACGAGTGCACTGATGGATTCGAGTTCACTCACTCGAGAAAAAGTGACGCAAGCTGCGGGCAATGTTTACTAATCATGAACACTAAATGTTCATGAATAATGAATAATGAACATTTAGCTTGTGTCACTTTTTCTCGAGTGAGTGAACTCAAATTCATCGGTGCGCTCGTCCATGATGCCTACACTGAAGCAAAACTTCACGTAATCGCCATTGGTGGAATCCTCTAAATTTCATTGCCTTCGGAGACGAGCCAAAGTCTCCTTAATAAAGACATAAAAAAAAAAAATTCATTGGATGCTCAATGAAGATATCGCTTTGAAAAATCCAATGAAAGTTATATACCAATGATTTTTATTTGACCATCAATCAAAACACATATTTCGGAGAACAGTAACCACCTGGAATTGGTTTTTTCATAGTAATTTCCATATAAACTTCAATTGGTTTGTGCCATGTCAGTTGCTTACTAAATGAGTTCAAATTTTGGAAGGCTAATCAGGACTTAATTTGGAACCGTTTGAGCACTGTGAAGTGAAATATAAAATTTTGCATAAGTCTACTGCTCGCCCTCTGGTGGATAGTACTGTTAGAAGCAGCATGAAACACCTAATCTCCGTCATTCTTCGAAGCACGCAGACCCGTTCAGGAGACGACTCGACACCTTTGTTACTCTCAATACGCAGATGCCCACAATACCAAGGGGGCGCTCTCTTTATGAGAGCGTCAGAGATACCCTGATTGATGACCAAAAAACATCCTGGAACAATGCAACACTGACTCAGACTCCGGATGGCAAAGGAAGTTAAATTATACTGACCCTCGCCAAGCAAGACCAAGGACAACAATATGTTATACAAGACCATTGAATCTAACTCAAATTTTAGTTCTGTTTACTCAAATTCACAAAACCACGGTCACGCATAGTCTGAGTAAATGTTTCTAGATTTTCTTTATAACCAAACAGATTTTTTTTTTTTTTTTTTTTGAGGTTCGGGGAAAATATTACTCAGTCTATAAGTGACCTGCGTTTTTGCGAATCTTAATAAACGGAACTTAAATTTGAGTCGGGTTCATCGGCCTCTCATTTGAAGACCTCTTGTTTTTAATTATAGTCACTTTAACGCTTTTGGGTCATTCGTGACTTGTCCGGGGTGAGATTTGAACTCGTGACTTTGGCGTAAGAGGTATGGATGCTAACCACTACGCCGGGGTCGCTCCCAAAAGCCCTCTTTTTGCATAAGACGTGAACCAGAAAGTAGCTTATATAGACGATTACGACAATCAGATGACAACGAAGATTAACAACGGACCGTATAGACAGCTTCGAGTAGATCCCTTACAGGACATAGTGAAACGCGTGGAGAAAGCACTGAAGGAGTGCAAATCAATATTAGGGATGGAGCAGGTCGTTTACGGGAATCCAATCCCATTCTACCCTGGATCAAAGGTCTCCCCAAAGTCCACTAACCGGGGAATGAAATGCGAGAGATCGTGTCTGCAGTTGATTCCCCCACCCAAAAACTAGCGAAGTGGCTAGTCACAGAGTTCCAGAGTATGCCGGCACAGTTCCAGAGTAAAGCAGTTAGTAACACCCAGGAGTTCGCCCAGCAACTACAATCTTCAGGAGACATCAACGAAGACGAACTTATGGTTTGGTAGCCTCAATGGGAAACCCCCTATCCGCCAGTCCTGTAAAGAGTACTTCAAATATAAAGATTTTTGACGATTAAACGGCGCACACTACTGTACCATCCAAATCGAAGAAGTGCGAAATGGGAAACAGATTAGTGGGAAAACAGTGAATGACGATGACTAGTCGAAAAAACCACGTGGACAGAATATGAAATAATATTAAGGCTGTGTTCCATTTGGTGAATTTTCACTTAAATTTGACACTTATTATTATAAATTATACTCTTCGAAAATCCCTCTCTTGCTGATCGTCTGATTTTCGAGAAGGTGTTTGTCAAAATTGATTCCTGATCGGTCAGAAATAAGTCTGCTGGCATAGCAGGTTTATTAGAAAATTTTCCATCTGTCAAATTTAGGTGAAAATTCACCAAATGGAACACAACTAAGAGCTCCCTGCCCGTAGATACACAAAGACTATCCATACACAGTTGGATCAGTTTTTAAGATAATTTATTTTGCATAAGGCCATAGAGAAATTTGAAATGAGTGGTAGAACAGCCATTTACTCGTGCATTGGCAGTGTAGCACTTGATGCTCCTCAAAACACGATGTGGAAACCTAGGAAACTACAATTGCCAACCTTTTTCAAAACATTTGATAACATATAGAGGAAATGGATGTAAATACCCCTAATTTGGGCCCATACATAAATTCAGCAATCGACTAAATTTTCAACAGCGACCAAACATATCCATTAGTACCGTCCCAATGACGCGTTCATCTAGATAAAATTCATAAATAGCAGATTTTTAGCAATGGGCCAATCTTAGATCCATAGGCCACATTAGAGTCATTTCATCCCCTATTTCAAAATATAAACCAAGTTCAGGTATTCCACTTTGCAGTTAATCATTTCAAACGATCAGATTGTCGCTGGAGGGTATTTCCTGTTGATTCTGTTGCTATTTATTGCCGTTAAACTCTCAGAGCATTATCAGTTCAAAATGAGCATCAGTAAGCGTAACATCTGTCTGCTGATTGCAGCACTCAGTATTTCCTCACTTGCCAGTAAGTCTTCAGCTTCGTACATTTACGACATAAAATAACTTAATAAATGTTTTTCCTAATTGTGTGACAGTTCCCTTAAATGCAGAATCGAATTCATCATTAGCGGAATCCCGACCAGTGAAGTGTGGCGAACGTTTGACGGAAACTCTGTATCCCACTAAAATACTCATAGACACCGGATCGGAAATTGAACAATGGCCTTGGGTCGGGGCACTGTACATAGGCTATGACAAAAATCTTCCGCACTTCAGATGTGCAGTAACTATTTTAAATGATCGGTTTGTTGTGGTCGCTGGTTCCTGTGTCAGAGCAGTTAAATCTACGCCCTCGGTCCTATCAGTTCGTCTAGGAGCGGCAAATCACGTCGACGATGAAAGCGAATCGTTGCAACAATTTAATGTGGAAGAAATTCATATGAGTAATACGAGTGATCGGTTTGTAACTATCGCATTGCTCAAACTTTCAAGTGAGATTGAATTTAGCCAATTTGTTCATTCAATCTGTCTGAAGGACGTTAGCCCCGGAGAGGACATTATTGGCAGCAACGGATTCACGGTAGGGTGGGAATCGGATTGGCGTAATGTTTATGAACAATATATGAGAGAAGTGAGTGTGTCCGTGGTACCAAATTCCAGCTGTGCAGTGGTTGAAAGGCGTGGTGTGACGATGGTCGGGAAAATTTGTGCTAAGGTGGCCAAAAGAAGACCCAAGGAAATAATCGTTACCCATGTAGGCGGATTATACTTGGAAGATAATGGCACATGGTTCATAAAAGGAGTTGCTATTGGTGACGTGATGGACGGGCAATATTTTATTTTCTCGGATATTGCTCCTCATTTGCCATGGATCAGGAAAACTATTGATTGATTCTAAAGTGAAGCATTTTAGAGAAGACATTCAGCAGCCAGATATAAAATTAATCAATTGTTTTACCAATTATAAAGTAAAGCAGGTAAGGTTTAACTCGTAGCCTGTTGGATAAAAAAGAGGATGAATACATTTCTTGGAAAACCACCATTCAAATTATTTGTTTTTCTTTTGATGATAAGGTACATTTTAAAATATCGATTCTGGATTGAAAACACTGATTTAAAAACAAATTGTTTAAAATAACATGTTAATTAGGAAAATCTACAGTCCCTTACAATGACGTGACGCTCTTGGGTCAGTCCCAAGTAACAAGCACCTTGAGTGAGTCCGCAGTACTCAGCGAAAAAGTATGTAAATTTGCATTTGCATAAATTTAAATTTTATTGATTTATTTATTTGATGAAATCCATAATGTATGTATGTATGTATAAACAATCCAACTTCCACTGTCCGGCAGTGCTTTTATGGAAGAAAAATGTTTGCAATATAACCTATTATTATTTTATACTGATCCCATTGCAAACAACTTTAGCCCGGAAGTTGAAAGGTGATAGCTCTGTTGAGATTCAGTAACCCATTTCAGAATGCCTGGTCACTCACGTTCATTCCGAAGTTACTTTCACTAACAACAAGCCGCGCATACACGTAGTACCGATATAAAATGTATATTGGAACTGCGTGTACACTTTCATCATCAAAGCAATTCCTGCTTTGTAGATGGCATGTATTAAGTAGGATGCATTTCATATTTTTACATCTAGTTGATTTATTTGATGAAATCCATAATATCCTAAAAATAAAACTTAACATTCAATATGATAAGCAATCATGCAGATTATCAATGAACTTATTTACTGAAATTTAAGTGATCAACTTGCCCCCGTTTTACGGTACTTGATTTACGGCATTCAATATTGCATGCAATGTCATTGAAAGTGTTGACCTTGTATGCAACAAAAAAGCATCTCAAAGAAGCTTAATCAAAGCCAAGTATACACTCTAAAAATTATTTGTTGAAACTTGATAAGATGAGGAGTTATTGAAACCGGTTTAAAATAAAATAAAACCCATTTGTAAGTTTTGTTTTAATATTTATTGTAGTTTGGAAAGGTCGTCTACAAATTTTCATATTACTCTATTTAGTGGTTACGATATTGTTTTCAGTTTACTGAAAAATAATCATATAATCATGCCTATGTACAAAAGTAACTCTAATCTATTCACGTTCTCGTAGATTTTAACTATACTACACGTAATCTCTACGCAATGTTTTTTTTTTGTCAACCTTCTCACTGCTTATGTCTGTTTGTATTGGAATAGGAATTATTCATAGAAACGCAATCAATTTAAGGAGATCCCTCAATAGATAACTAGTTAGAAAAGATAGGCTGTCAGTATTTGCCTTTATGATGGATGATACAGGAAATGCTCTCAACACAACTATTTTGACAATGATAACTAGATAAAATAAAGATATCTATCCAAAGGGAAGCTATTAAAACTAAATATTATAAGACGGAACATGTTGCTTGTGTTAGGCGCTGCAGTCAAAACAATGCATGATAAGTTCTATGCCTATCAGGCCTCCGGAATTTTCAACAGAAACCCTATTCGCGTAATCATTCTCTAATTGCTCTAATCCTAGGATGGTGTCCCATTTTCCATTTTTTGCTCAGCTTAGAGTCATGTGTTTGATTTACTTTTGTTTGCTTTTATTTTGCACTTTTGATCTAGACTTACCGCTTCTAAGACAGCTCATTCACAGCTTTGCGACGAAAATTCGTACTTTTTGTATTAAATTAAAACAAATCACTCGGTTGGCAAATCCAATCAGAGAGTGGTAAGGAAAGGGATCAAGTTCATCTGGAGCAAAGGGTTTATCATGCAAGGGGAAAAAAGTGCTAAATGTTGAAACCAAACCCGGTGGTTCAACGTGCTCCCCACTTGACTAGTGCATTTTATTCCCTTGTTATGTTTCGAATCTTGCTTAAAACTGATCGCTAAAACCTATCGTCTTAAAATGCGATGCCATCATAGTATGTGTTCCCGAATGTCGATCGACTTCCATCGATTGTAGCAAGTGGTTTTACTGCATCTTCGATACCTCAAACTTGGTATTGACAATCTCCTCGTCGGAATCTAGCACGGGAAGCGCCGCATCGGCAATCGCCGCAGGAATATTATCTTCGACCCATTTGAGGTCGTCTTCGTCCGTGGTCGGGCTCCTGGCGTTCTGTTTGGGAGACGAACTTCGCGTTCCACGCATCTTTACGCCGTACGCGTCCGATACGAATTGCTCTTCCTCGTCTGTGGAGGATGAGGTGATTATCAATTGACGTTCAAACTGCTTTACAATAGACCAACTTACCATCGTCTTCATCTTCCGGATTATCCAACAGTGGAGTGAACGCGTACCGTTGGTTGTTGTTCGTTGGACGCCAAAGGATCATAATCACTAGCAGCAGAGTAGAGAATAGAACGTGCCAGAAGGCATCGTCGACCCACAGTTCCTTCCAATCGGTCAGGCATTCAGCAAATCGATGCGATTTGATCGAATAGAGCATGAATACCACGGAAGCCAGGACGGCGAAGATCAACGTATTCGTGAAGTGTCGGTACAGAGAAAGTTTAACCATATTTCTGAAAGTGAACTTCTAGATTTAGAACCGTTTGGAGAATGCTTTGGCAGTAAATCTAACCTTCGCAATCGCAGCGTCCTTGTCGTCTGGACAAGTGATGTAAAGATCCACCAGCAAATGGCGGAATCGAGCACTGCTAAGGGGATACTCGCCACCAGTAGTTGATCGTTTTTAGTGTGCATTATCCGGAGGAAGCTCTCAACACATGCCAGTACCAAATATAGGCCTCCAGTTCCAACAACACGATGAAGCATTGGTCCCAATCGTGGCCTAGTAGAATATAAGAAGTTTGAAAAACTTTCCTAACACCATCCTTCAAGACAACAACTCACTTGACAATACCGAATCCCAGCGAAACGATGATGACCAGCATCCGGGCGAGGGTTCGCTTACCACAGGACACCCATTCGGCCAGTAGGACCATTCCCCTCACGGAGACGCCCGTCGAATTGATGCTCTGGTATTCACCGTAGAACATGGCTTTCTCCAACATGCCCAGCAGAATGACGCCACCGATCCAGAACTGAATCCGAAGCAGATCTCTCCACTGCAGGAACGACACGGTCAGCCAGATGATGCCAAGGCCAACGTAAACCAAGCACATCGCACCGTAGAACTGTGAATAAACGGGAATATTTATTACCTCTACTTAGTCATTTGCCTTTTTCGATTCAAGTATGGACCCCAGACCACACGATTAACTCAAACCTTGGGACTACTTTTGAAACACACAATAATTAAACAATCAGGAGCAAATCAAATTGTAAAACCAGTTTTATACGAGTTCTCAAGTCATGGACTTGGATTAGACCTGGGCGCCGCCGACTCTTTCTCACACGCCGCCGCCGCTGCACTATTGAAAATTGCACAAATGTCCAACTGTTGCAATGATGATCAAAATTATCACCGATTTCCTGCAAACAGCGCTTTCCCTAACACAGATTTCAAAATCGAATTCCATCCGGTTCCACTGAACGATGCTTATTCAATCGCCATGTGGGTGGTGTCCGGTTGGTCGTCAGCAGCAGCAGCAGCAGTGCTTTTGGCGCGTGGCGTTGAACATTGTACACAACGAAAGGCTGCCCGCAAGCAGCGAGCTGCAGCCCAGATGAGCGTCCATTCACAAACGAAGGAGGAAGAAGCCTCACTGATCGGGATCCATCCTCGTGAGTCTCTGTGGGTCATCTAAGCCCAGCGCGTCACCCTCGTTCCAAACAACAAACAGCTCGCCAGCCTCATCTGTGTTGAAAACCCTAATAGCTCAACCATTACGACAAAACGGTCCTTTTCAGGATCACCATAAATTATTGTTGTTTAAGAGTTAATTTGAACGTTCGCTTGCCTTGCTGCCAGCCACATTACCTTTGACCAACATCATCTTTGATAATGTACCCAGCAACAATACGTTTGTGGTCAAATGCGTCAAGTATTGAAGTGGTTCATACAAATTATCGCAATGACCGAATACCACATGACCATTTCAATTAACCAGAGACACTTCGTAAGGTTTTCTCTAGGACGCTAGGAAAAGCAAAATCGAATTTATATGATTAATCGTGAATATTTCACGATTGGAAAAATTTTAGCAAGATATTCCTCCAATAAATATTCACTTTTTTGACGTAGGACTACGTCTGTGATTTCTATATGGGGGTACACTTAGTGATAACCGAAAATGGAACATGTAACAAAATTATGAAAGATTTTGAACATTAATAACCCAGCTGCCCCTGGACCAATCGCTATCATTTTATCACCAATCGATCAGAAATATTTCTACGCATCAAAGCAATGTTTCCGACTAATGATTTTAATCAAGAAACTATTGAAAAAAAGGTAATGTCAAGCATTGTCCAATGTACAAATAAAAAGTGATAATTTTATCACTGTTTTCATGAAATAAACGTTCTTCCCAAACCCAGTCGTCATAATCGAGTACCACTTCGTTGCACATCATTCTGCTTTAACCTTAAAAGATATAAAAGAGCACTGCTGTCTAGCCTCAACGCATTTTCGCTTGGGACGGCGTGGTGAGCAGGAAGCAGAAGCAGCAATAGCAGCAGTAGGAAGGTGGTGGCAGGTAAGGTAGTCCACTCTTCCCCAACAAGCAACAATGGCTGGTCGTGGCAAAGGAGGAAAAGGTCGTATCTCCGGTCTGATCTACGAGGTGTGGTAAAGGTGTTCCTGGAAACAAGCATGGGAAAATTCATTCACTCGCGCGAGCACCACAGAATCCATATAGCCATCCTCGCCTACAAACAGATTGTCGAACGAGTGTAAATTCTTCCTACCAAGTGACTCTGCAGATCGACTCAGAACTGATAGCAGTAGAAGGAAAGAAGGATAAACTGAAAGGCAGCCGAACAATTTTCTCTAGCGAGGGAGAACCAGATTGAATGCGTAAAATCCGAATGCTAACGATTTAAATAGCCGAGTCAGATAGTTTTTGGCTCACTGATTTGAATCAGTTGAATTGGCCACAGCAGTTTTAAGTTATTTGCGTGACGCTTATGTTTATTTGTTACAGTATAACAGTTTTCTCGATATTAATAGCGATTTAAATGTGTCAATGTATGTTTAAAGCTAGAAAATAAAAAGTGATTCTTTCTGCAAAATTCTCATTCAGCTCACTCAGCAGAATGCAATCGTAAAAGGCTCAGCATGGAAAAAATAATAAGAGAGGAATCATCCACACTACTACACTCAGAATCATTCATGTTACGCTCAGCTGTCTGTTTTGCTCAATTCTGCATTCATCGAAGAAAATAGAAGCAATGCGAATACGAACGAAATCAGTGCGGCTCGCACAAGCTGCTGTTCGTTTCTGATGTTGTATGCGTGTGAGTGAGTTGAGAATGCAAAATGGAACGATTTTTCCCATGCTTGCCTGGAAAATGTGATCCGTGATGCTATCACCTACTCTGAACACGCCAAGCGTAAGCGGCTATGGATGTCCTTTTGGTTTGTTTTTTCCGTCGATCTTGTTTTCCGTGCTGAGCACCAATGCTACCGACGTGCCAGGAAGGCAGCTCCCACACCTGGACCCTACCTATCGACCCATCAACTCATGAACCGGGGACCAACGGCTTTACTTCCCATCCGAAGGAAGGCGTGATCAGAGATGTTATGCCTCAGAACATCCCGGCGGCGCCGACTGGGATTGAACCCAGGCTATGGATGTCTTCTACGCTTTGAAGCGACAAACGCACTTTGCACGGTTTCGAAGGTTAAATCATCACCAACTTTGGCAACAAAACGACCCTTTTCAGGGCCAACAAGCTTATTACAGTAAAGAGTTGGGATAGAATTTATCTGTGTCTGTTTTTTCCATATTCAGAACCACAGGCCCCCAACGACCACACAAAATGCTCTCCAGAGTTGTAATCAAACTTGGAAGTAAGGGTGCAAGGGATTTTGATCGATTCTCTTCATCTTTCATTAATAACTCGTTAATTGCCCTTTGCTTTCAAAGTATTGACATTGGAAAACTACGCAACAGGAGAGTGTCGCTACTTGATAGCAAACTACTCATGATGAGAGGCGTCTGTGTAGCTTACTGGCATGTGCAAAAAGAAAGGCAATCAAAATTTCATGTTGTGATTGTTTCCCAAACACAGACATCATATTGAAACACCATCGTGATTATGCATTGTAGCGTTCTCTGTAAATTACAATTGGTACAGTAAGTGCTTCAGTGTTAACACTCCGCGTTGGATAGAGCCAATATTCGAAGTGAAACAAATGTTTATTGAGAAATTCTGTAGAAATCTTCAAAATGTCTCAACACATGGCTGCTAAATATCTCCGCGATTATCGGAAGCGCGTGAGAGACCAGGAGTCAGGGAAACCTGCGAAACAGACGCGGACCGTTGCTGAACGCGTTCGAATGTGTCAAGCAAACAAGAAAGCGGCCAAAGATAATGAATTGTTCATTTTGGAGTCAAGTTTCTAAGCCATTTATTTTGTTATTAATATATTAGTGAACGGTGCATGAAAAACAATCTCGTTGTTCTACGTCAACAATGCGGTCGTGCTTTGGACACAACCCTTAACTTTTTTTTATTATCTATTGAATAAACCAAAAATTCCGTGCGTTTTGTGCACGAAAATCCGTAATTTAGTCATCAGAAAACGAGGCGTTTCCGTGATGGGAAAAGTGGTTTTCCTAACACAGTTGCCGAATATTAATACCAAGCACTGAGCATGACAGACGGTACCTATCTTTATGCCTTTTGATGCAAATTTTAAGCCCCTGCTATTGGGAGATTGCCGTAAAAGCTCAACGCAGATGTCACCACTGCATGATGATGATAATGTTGACAGACTGCATATAAAATTCGTGAAAATTAGCGTTAAATCATAATTTTCATCAAGCCTGTGTAAAATCCTTCCAATATAACATTCGAATTGAAGAAGAAAACGTTTTTACGATCAGACTGATGTGCATCTTTGACTTTTCCAGATGAACTTTCATAAGATACATTCATTTCATTTCGCGGCTCCATCAATGCTGCATCGTAAATATGATGTAAACAGAAGTAAATTGCTCAATTACTCAAAATAAAGATAATTTGTCATCTTGTTATCACTTTGAAAACCACCTAGCACCATTTTATAGTATGGTGCGTGTTGAGTAAATCAAGTTCCGTTGCGTTTTCCGTCGAAAATTGCCGAAATCAATATGTTTGCTTAGAAAAGGCCAAAATGAACATTTATTGAATATTGGCGTCCTATACAACCAATTCTCCATTACCACCAGCATAATACAACCTTTCCTAACTAAATTCACTTAATTTCCACTTTCATCTTAGTGGAAATCGCACATATTCACCATTTTCCGCAGGAGGTAACCTCTTGCTGTGGGTGCAAACTTGTTATGCATTATTTTCCATGAAAACATCTCCAATCCATACCGAAATAATAACAGTTAGTTTGCAAACACGTTTTCTTACACGATTCAAGCAAAAGTTTCCACCGGAAATTATTAGTTTTTCTTTATGTACCGATTTGCCCCAAAAATCGTCTGTTTTACTTGAAGAATTTGGAAACTATCCTCCTTCTAGTAGTTCTCACTTCGAAATGTAGGTGGCGAAAGCTTGGAAAAGTTTAACTGCAAGACGCCAATTAAGAGAATTATGCCCAAAAAATCTTGCCAACTTCTCTTAATAGAAGAGGCTTAAACTTTGCATCAAAAAGCATATACCTAGATACCGTCCGGTAGGATCAGATTCTGTGATTGATGTGTTTTCCCTATTTTATTTCCGCACCGCTATCATCACCAAGAACATCGAGGACAAATTTCCACAGCATTGTTTAAAACTGGCTTCCAAGTTTCCAACCCATTGGTCTTTTTCAGGACCACAATTGACTGATAAAAGAGTTAACTAAAGAGTAAAACCTTGAATCCAAGACATATCGTCCAGGATTGGCTTGTACTACATAGACATCGACAGAGCACCTCTCAAACAGAACTCTCAAATTGCTTCCGAATTTCAACCGATCGAAATTTTTCACTGATAACGAATTAAGAAATCAATTTAATATTTACTATACTTTTACTGTGACGTCAATCTACGGTCGTGTCTTGGATACAAACTCTTACCTTTTTTCACCCTTTATTGTTGGCTAGTTCAACTCACTCGTATACTAAACAATCTGCATAATGTGCAACTCACCGGAAGTAATGGCCAATCCACCGCTGACAGATATCCTTGTTCACTCTTCATCTCAACATGTACATTGGCAACGAAATTATCCTGAGACTCAGACTGGATCCTCAGTATGAAAATATACAACCCATCCTTAGTGATTGTAAAAATTGACTGCGGCTCGTTCTTTCCCTTAAAAAAAAAAAAAATCTTGATAAATTTACCCATTCAACAACAAACAAATTAAACAGAAAACTCATTTACAGCATCTCTCCGCGATTTGCTCATCCTCTCTGCCGGTTCCTTCAGCTTCAGCTCCGGCAAGATGATGTGTCCTCCGCGCGTGCAAAGTTCCTCGATCGGATGGAACACGATCTCCGACTGATTCGGCGTCACGAAGAATGCCTCGTACTGTGTGGTGTAGGACTGTATGAAAGAAAAATGAAAAGCCCTGTTTCAATCCGTATGCCATCGAGCTCACCATTCTGACATATTCCTCCCAGCATTTGTACTCTATTAGTGCCCAGGATATTTTCAGCTTGACCGATTCCCTCGCCTGCTCGTACGGTTCGCAAGTGACTGTAACATGGTTTCAAGTTCAAATTAGTTCCAGATAAGTAAATTTGCGGATATTTGCTGCTCACTCTGTGTGTATATTTTGAATCCCTCGTAGACTGATTTCGGGATGGGCATGTAGGGTATCTCCTGAAACGGTAAAACATCAATCAATGTAAATAAAATACAAGTGTCGCCTCATCAGTAAGCAATGACTCAATCGCTGAACCGGCTCCACATGAAAATAACAAGTCAAATGCTAGGGCTACTAGTAAGTATAGCTCTGTATGTATTGACTTAGTCGAGATTTTGCAGACGTAGTCACAGAACAGCGTTCGAAGCACCGATTTTCGAGCTCGCATTACACGGCTTGCCAGCGCACCACTTACCGAACTTAGTTGAAAGTCCCATTTCCCCTGTTCTGGAAAGGCCGCCAGCAGTCCGAAGAAGGAACAAAACCAGCAAATAACTAGGAATTTTGACTCTTTCATGGCTCCTCGAAAATCTGTGGTGGCAAGAAGAGAAGAAAAATACTACACTTCGACTTCAGCACTCTTCTTTTCGGGGTCGTTTGACAGGCAGCCAAACATTCGATTAAACATACACGCACACTAGCACACACACGCAAGATACACGAAGCGGTTGTCAGGTTAAGGTACACAACAATTTCAAATTAGGAAGGGAATGAAGTGAACGAAATATGAGAGGCCACCTAGCAGTGAGTAGCACAAAGTGATGCAGTGGTGAATCCATGGGTTGAAATTAAATTACTTCACCCATTCGGTAGTTATAATTTAAATGAAACAAACGTAAATGTCTACCCTACACAGCAAAAAAAGTTGTTGAATATTACATCGAAACTGATGCAACCAGGTCAATCCATCGGTTGTGTAATATCACATTGTACGATGTACATCGATTTTGCGAACAAAATTACATCCATTGATGTAATATTGTATCTACTTTTTGCTATTACATCATTATTTCATACATCAGCTTGAATTACGTTGATCGATATTACATTTTTTTTTGCTGTGTAATAACAAAATACCATAACCGAACATAACATTCATGTGATCACATTAGTTCTATATGATAAATCACATAAGCAAAGTTGTTAGGTACTTTCTGGGCTATACTTTAACGTATTTAGATGCGTGGTTTGTGCAAAATTTCCAAATTACCATAATTTCCGACGTAGAAAAAATGTACCGTCAGATCTGGGTATATTTTCTCGACTGCCTTCTCCAGCAGATTATGTGGCTAGACAAACCTGATGGACATATCCGAATCTTCCAGCTCAAAACAGTCACCTACGGGACCTCTGCCGCACCCTATCTCGCCACAAAGTGTCTCCAGGAGCTCTCAAAGCAGGGTCAGTCGTCTCATCCTGCTGCTTCAAGGGTTCTTTCGAACGACTTCTACATGGAAGACATGATTAGCGGGGTCGACGATGTGGAAGAAGGAAAGGTGCTATGCAACCAACTGCTACAGCTTCTCCAAACAGCTGGGTTCAGCCTTCGTAAATGGGCTTCAAACTCACCGGAAATACTCGAACACATCCCAGCACATCTTCGAGACGAACGCTCGGTACTCGACCTTGATTCGACTTCTTCCGTCAAAACTCTGGGACTAAAGTGGACCGCCGCCTCCGACAAACTCGGGTTCCACGTACCAAAATGGAACAAAGATGATGTCATCCACAAAACGCATCGCCCTTTCAGATTCCGCTCGCCTGTACGTAGGGCCCGTCATCGTACTTTCCAAGTGCTTCATGCAGGAACTCTGGACGAATAAGAAGACTTGGGACGAACCATTGGAAGAAGAGCTCCAACAACGCTGGGTGCAGTTTAGGAGCGAATTAACAGCGGTCGAAACAATCACTGTTCCACGTTGGGTGATACCAATTCCACAACCAGTCGTAATAGTGGCACACGGATTCAGCGATGCTTCTCTACGAACATACGGTGCCTGCGGGCCTTATTACGGGTCTCACTACACGGTGATAAGGAAGTGATACTCATAATAAAAGCCGTGATTGCCGTACAAATCAAATGGGAATCACTTCACCGTGACTACAAGTGACAACCCAAGTAACCAAAAGTTCCGCATTCAACGATTAAAATTACTTCCAAGTTCCGTAAAGTTCAAATAAAGTTCCGACCGAACCTTCAAGCTCCATAAAGTTCAACTAAAGTTCCGACAGAACTTTCAAGTTCCATAAAGTTCAAATAAAGTTCCGACAGAACTTTCAAGTTCCATAAAGTTCAAATAAAGTTCCGACAGAACTTTTAAGCCACATGAAGCAATCCGCACAAGTCTTTATTAGTAACAAAATTTAATGTACGTAAATATAAAATAATGATCAGCGGCCCGAATAAATCATAATTCTTATATTATTATTATTATTATTTATCTTTATTAGGGAGGCTTTCAGCCTGGGGCTGGTTCGCCTCCAATAATTCTTATGTTTATGCAGTGCATCAACACAAAAGTTATTTCCTGGATTCGAACCCGTGTATTCGGCATGCGATCTACGAACGCTAACCACTGCGTTGGAATAGATTGCGGGCAAACATCAATTTAAAATTCATCAAGGTGTTGTGTTTCGTATTCAAGGCAGTCAGCTGGCACTGAAAACTCCAACAGTAGGCGGGACAACAGCTCACTTTATTATATCTCAGATGACGCAGCGGTTCGTACTGGGGCTCGAACGCAGAAGGACTGGGTTTAATTCTTCAAACAGCTCCAATTCTCTACTACTAATGCTGATAAATCAATACACATTAATAATACCTGCCTTAAGAAATAACTTTCATAAAAGTGCGAACTAAACATAGAATTGGTGTAGAGGACAAAAACCTTTTTGAATTTATTTTCTGAAAGTTCCGTTCAAGTTCCGCCAGAAGCTGCTTAGAATGCTCTTCAATTATGATATCAGAACTTTCAAGTTCTTATAACGACTTAAAAATGAGGCTGCTTAGAATTCTATAGACCACCACCAACCAAGCTGCTTAAGCCACAAATAGCCTTTTATCAGAACTTTTGGTTGCTTGGGAAGTTTTCATCGTGAAGTGACATCCGTAATAAGCCCCTGCATCTATCTCCGTGTGGTGTCACCCAGTGGAGAAATATCCGTACACCTCCTCACCTCCAAATCAAAGGTCGTTCCACTGGGAAACAGCAAAAATCAAAAGAAGATCAGTCTTCCACGTTTGGAACTTTCTGGTGGATTGCTCCTCAGCCATCTCTTCCAGAAAGTCCAGCACAGTTTGAAAATTGATCTAAAGTGCTTCTACTGGGTTGACTCCACCATCGTGCTAAATTGGTAAGCTGGAACACCATCAAGATGGAAGACGTTTGTAGCAAACAGAGTCTCCGAAATACAGCACATCACTATGCGTGGCAATTGGGGACACGTGGCAGGACTAGAAAACCCGGCGGACATCATCTCCCGTGGAATGCTACCAACGCAACTGAAGGATTCGGATATCTGGTGGCATGGTCCAACCTGGCTCAGGCAAACGTCCAGGTTTTGGCCGTCACGCATTCGTACGGCTGACGATGATTTTCGTTCAGATCCAACCTCCAAACCCCATACTCATTCTACGATCATTCTTTCCATTGCTAGTTCGTCAGGTGGCTTACTTGCGAAGATTTAGCCATAATTGCAAGCCTGCTAACCGACAGGATCAAATGAAGGGATTTCTCCGAACCACGGAACTCAACCAAGCAACCTACACTCTCGTTCGCTTCACTCAAGCCGAGTCATTTCCGAACGATCTACGAGCCATTCGTTCCGATGGACAAGTCAAGCCGAACTCAAAGTTGAAATCATTCTCTTACACTAAGACCGGACCAAATTAGTTTCTTTTTTCGTACATAATAAATGGTGGTCCCTAGTAATAAAGATGCAAAAAAAGTAGGTTTTCCCGTACTAATTTCCATACAAATTTCAAACGCAATGCGGATAGCCGGGTTACAACCAATTGTCCCTAAATTTTGCACAGTTGTTTGGGACTTCAAATGGAACAAAAAAAATATTTTTTCTGAAAAAATGACACACTTGTCACTGAAAAGTCGTGGTAACTTGTTTGCAACTTATTCCAGTCACAATCAAGTTGCAGCAACTTATTTTGGTGGAAGTGTGTTGCTTGGGTATGTATGTATGTATGCAAGTTCGTATGAGCGTACCTCACTAAATTTTCGCAGAGATGGCTGGACCAATTTGAGTGGAAGAAGTTCCAGAAGATGAGTTTCAGATCCCCATAGTTCGATATTAATTTTTTTCCCGATCGGAATTATGGTTCCGAAGATATGAACAAAAATGTGAATGTAGTGGTGTAGTGGTGTAGTGGTAAGCGTGATTACCTCTCACCCCAGCAGGCCTGGGTTCAATCCCAGTCGGCGCCGCCGGGATGTTCTGAGGCAAAACATCTCTGATCACGTCAAGTAAAGCCGTTGGTCCTCGGTTCATGAGTTGATGGGTTGATAAGTAGGGTCCAGGTGTGGAAGCTGCCTCCCTGGCGTCGGTAGCATTGCTGCTAAGCACGGAAAACAAGATCGACGCAAAACAAATCAAGGAAAAACAAGAATTCACAAAAGATTGATATATCAAAAACTCATCATGCGACACCTCAAATCACATTAGAATTTAACTATATGATCTTTCAGATGTACCGGGTAGCCCCGGGAAGTGGACAGATTCTGACATCAAATCACATGGAACTTAACATAATGATTATTGCAAGTATTTATAATGATTTTCCTTAACCTATAGCTTACCTGATGTTTTGAAAAAGTTCGTTATGGGGTTTCCTCTTGGGTTCCCTTTGATTTTTCTCGATTTGATCCACATTCTTCCTACTCTTATTCAGGTACAAAACGGTGAAAATTGCTGCTTCGCTAAACACTAAAACTTTTTGGCTCAGCTCTGGTACTATCTTCGGTCCCATGCTAATCGATGCACCCCTCGAAAAATAGGAAAATCCACGAGCCCCTCATTTTATCCGTCAAACTTTCATAGGGAATCAAAACAAACATAGTGTAGTACTAGAATTTCGACTATAATGGGATACGTTAATCGATTTGCTTGGGACCAATAGGCCTTTTTAATAGAAACTAAACGATCGATTCAACCTCTGGTAGTGAATAGGAGAACGTAAAAAAAAGTGTTGTTAGCAGAAATTTTTGCCTTGAGACATAGGAAGCGGAACACTTTTTTACTTTTCCTGATAAATTGATTCATCTGAGATGCTCCAAAACTTAATCTACAGTTAAAAAATTTAATTCTGTAACGTTTTTGCAAACATCCTGCTGGTGTACAGGAATATTTTTGTTGCGAAAAATGGAAAATTAGAAAAGTGCCGTAGTGGTTATGATCTTCCGGATTTCCTGTGTATGGATAATTAAGGTACAAATCAGTTCAGATCTGTGGAAAATCGTACAATAAGACAATTACCGATAGAAATTGGTAAGATGTTGAATGAAAAATGCTTTAATTTGCGTTGTGAAAAATAGTTATTCTGATGTAAACAAACGGTTTGG